AATGTTGTATATCAATTTCAGTTTCAATATTTTAGCAAGCCGTTCTGTAAGCCAAAGAATGGCAAGCGAATCCAAGAGGAATTCATTTCGGCACCACGAATAAAAACGGTCATCAGTTTACATAACCGGCTTCCTCTTTCTGGTTCAAACCACCAGACACAACAGGAACCTTTGGACTAAGTTCAACAAGTGTGCCCCTTATGCAACACGCAGGGACATGTGTGGATAAACATTCCTATAGCACATGCGCTGCCTATAGGCACGGAGTACAGCTCCGAAAAGGAAATACAGGAAAGAACTGCAGTGGGTAAGTTAGAACAAAGGAGCTGTCTCGCCAAATGACCCAACATCTGGAATGGTGGTTGATCATGAATTAACCAGAGGAACAAACGGATTCCGGTCAACTCCTCTCAGATAGACTTTTCTATTTATAATTTCACAGAGGAGGGCACGAATCCCCTCTTACGGTTCCGCCACAAGGCGCCCGTACGCGTGACGCCACAGACGAAAACGGAAAACATTGAAAAGGGATAAAAATACGACATCCGCCAAGGCCCAATCCGTCGAAACGCATACCCAAAAGGAGAGCTCCATGAACTAAAACGAAGAAGCTGCCGGGGCCCAGTCCGGCGCCCTAACTCCAAGACAAAGAGGACAATGCAGCGCCGGCTGCCAAGCCTAACAGGCGTAAACTGCAACAAATTCCAAATTCAAAGAGAGAAAAAAAAAAACCAAACTCGTTTGCCAAAACTGTAGTAATTTGAAAAAGAAAAAAACCCACCAAATAAAGTAGAGGAGGAGCAGAGCCCACGTGGGCCTGCGAAAGTAAAGAGGTTCTCACATGCCGACAAGGCAATGGCCAGCAGATCCGAGGGCAGGAACAAGCCACGGAAGGAAGGCACGTCCAATACAAGTGACACTCCGAGCCGCACTGATTCACTAACGGTCTATCAGCATGGGGCTGCGCACCCTGGGCCGGTTTGCTCATCTTGCGGCTGCGGTCGCGGCTGCGGCCAGGAGGGATTTTTATGTCACGTGACCAGCTCCATGGGGACAAAGAAGTACCTAGCGTCCCTGCCTTATGGCGGAGTGATCAGCATCGCTTCAAGCACAAAAGCCTAATTTCGCTCGCAGAAACTGATTGCAGGGACTTTCATCTGGAATCTAATTGACCGCCCCTTTGTACTGTAGGAGCGGCAGGTAAAGTTACGGCCAGGGAGGGTAAATAGGAGCCAAAATAAAGAAGAAACCACAGGAGATAAAAGCGGTAGCAGTATATTTATCTACCTTCGCCGGCGCCGGTGCCTCGCCCCTGCTGCTATGGTCGAGAGGTTTAAGCGCCGGTACTTGTCGTCGCGGCGTGAAAGTTCCGGGTTCAAATCGCGCTAGGGACTTCTTTTTTTTTTCTTTTTTTTTTGTATTTTGTGAGCGTCTTACTTTTTAGCTGTGATCCTTTTTAGGATATCATCCACTTGCACTACTGCGCCTTACACGGTATTTTCTGTTAGTCCCACCTGTTCAATCGAAACATCGGGAAGAAAAAAAAAAGATGAACGCAAGTTAACGCGCTAATACAATCATTTCATTCCATTTGTTGATCCAAAGTCATTTTAGGAGTTTGCATTAGAGTGAGGGACCTAAAATGACTTTGGATCATAAATGGAATTAATTATAATGAATTCCATTTGTTGTTCCAAAGTCATTTTAGGTGTTTGCATTAGAGAGAGGGTTTGCGATGTCGACGCCTGATTCATTTTTGCATTCAGTCGTGATCGTCCGCTAATCAAACTAAAATTCAACAAGTAATGTGGTAATATTACAAAACGATTGCCACAACAAAATGTAAAGAGTATAAATATACTTTTTATCACATTCCATGCAAGTAAAAGTATGATCGCTTTTATTTCGGTTTTACTACTTTCTCAGACGTTTGACTTGCTGCCTTGCCTGTAGGATTTCGCTCAATCAGCGTAGCAACAGTTGCTAGTCTTTTTTTTCTTTTTGCTTGTTTTTTTTTAATTGTCACAACTGCAGTTTTTATTAGTCCTAAATAGGCGTCTCTTGTTATTGAAAGGAATCGTAGCAAGAGCGTTGTATATTTAAAAACACATAAAACTAGTTGCCGGGGAAAGGATGCTTGTTTCGGCTCGGTTAGTGTGAAGCCATAGCGATGCTGTTATCTTGGTTTCCTTTTAATGAACATTATGAAATGATTTTATTAGCACGTTAACTTGTGTTGATCCTTTTTTTTTTTCTTCCCGGTGTTTCGATTGAACAGGTGGGACTAACAGTAAAAACCGTGTGAGGCGGAGTAGTGCATGTGGATGATTTCCTAAAAAGGATCAGAGTTAAAAAGTAAGACACGCGCAAAATACCAACAAAAAAGAAAAAAAAAAAAGAAGTCCCTAGCGCGATTTGAACCCGGAACTTTCACGCCGCGACGACAAGTACCGGCGGTTTAACCTCTCGACCATAGCAGAACGCGCAAGGCGCCGGCGGAGGTAGATAAATATGCTGCTACCGCTTTTATCTCGTGTGGTTTTTTCTTTATTTTGGCTCCTATTTACCCTCCCTGACTGTAACTTTACCTGCCGCTCCTACAGTATAACGGGGCGGTCAACTGGACTCCAGTTGAAAGTCCCTGCAATCAGTTCCTGCGAGCGACATTAGGCTTTTGTGCTTGAAGCGATGCGGATCTCTCCGCCATTAGGCAGGGACGCTAGGTACTTCTTTGTCCCCATGGAGCTGGTCACGTGACGTAAAAATCCCTCTTGGCCGCGGCCGCAGCCGCAGCCGCAAGATGAGCAAACCGGCCCTGGGGGTGGCCAGCCTGAAAGCACGGGCGCCAGTGGTAGTTGGTGGTGCGATCTATGTAGTGTAGAGCAATTGTACTAGTGGTGGTTGGTAATGCCATCTAGGTGGTGCAGAACTTTAACAAAAAAAAAACTGAAACACTACCACCTTCCTTTCCTTAAAAAAAATAAACCTATACTCTTTCCCTCCTTAAAGGGGCCCTGCAACAACTTTTTGACTGGTTTTTAATTTGCACCGAACCTGAGTGCACTGAACGTAGTAACTTAAAACGTTTCTTTTCTCAAATTTCGCTTTATTTTAGAAGTTATAGGCAAATTAGAATTACAAAAACCATAAAAAAATAACCTCCTTCATGATGTCGTAGGTCCTGGCTTGAGTGGCCGTGAACTAGAGGAGGGGTAGTGAGCTTATGGAGCGCTCACGGTTGCCGCACTCCGTGTCGACGGCTCGAGAGGGCGCCACTAAAGCAAGTGTTGGATAGGCTGTATGAAGCGGGCGGCCAGGGCGGCTCGCACTGCATTTGCTGCGCGATTAAAGATTAATTCGGCATAGCACTTCATTGGCCACAAATGACAGCAAACACAGAATAAAGATAAGTTCAAAACAGGTGCCATTTTGCGCTGCCATACCGCCAAATGGACAAATCGCCAGCCAAGCCCGCACCGAAAGCCTTCGGAATGCTCGGAACCGGTCGGATCCTCGAGCCGGTATACAACTGCAGCGCCGCCCTAACATCCAGGACATTTCTACGCTGGCCGTTCGTCGGAGCCTCATCCCACTAGCCCAGGGACGGCCAAGCTGACCCTGCCTAAGAGCTGCCAACAACACCACAAAACTTCCAAGAGCCACAGGGGGGGGGGGGGGTGCAAACTTTTGTCCAGAACAATAAATGAAACTCAAACTTCTTTCAATCTATCCGAGTCAAAAGCAGTTCATTTGTACGTAAGGTAGCACAAACCGGCCAAATTGCAACCTGCCTTTCGATTTAAAACGCGTTCCATTTCACTTTTTGGGGAAGTTTTCGTGTGACCGGGAGGGTGGCCGTGGGGGGGGGGGGGGGGGGGGGGGGAGCGCAGAGGAGGGAATTGCGAGCCGCACTTTAACACGCGAGGAGCCGCACCTTGGCCACCCATGCACTAGCCCTTTCTAGTATGCGCCGTTTTTTCTGCTGCTTGGTGGCGGGTTTGTCGACGGGTCTTTTCTTTTTTCCGTACTTTATGAACTGCCTTTGTTCCTTTTCTGATCTAAAATACTGAACAAAAACTACTGTAATACATAATAGAAACGGTTCACGGCACTTATTTTTTGTATCTCAAAAGAAAAAGCTTTTAGCGGGTCTGACCAGTAGTAAGCCCAGGACCAAAGACGTCACATTTTGCACGCTTTCGGTACTGTGGGTCGCCCTCGTCAGTGGAAGGAGGTTTCCGCGTCGTCCGGTTAAAATATTACTCACTGATATTTAGTTACTCTCTCCATGCCCGCTGGCTTGCCCGAACCCCAAGAGACGTGGAAACCGCAAAAAAGGTAGACGCTTAAATGTGATTGCAGGGCCCCTTTAAAAAGAAAAATTCTAACCTTAGAACAAAATAGAAAATGCAAAAATTAATACAGACTACAACACTCGTGACAATATCTCCTAAGTAACAATAAATGCAGTTGTAATACACATACCACCTCGTAAGCCCAAAGCCTTAGGGGCAGAAGAAAACAAACGTTGAGAAAAAAAAAAAGACACATTGGGCAAAACACTGTGCGAGTCGCCAGTTACACAACTTTCACTGCCCCATGTTTTGAGAAAAAGAAACCAAACACTTCAAAGTATGATATGGGGAGAATAAAAAAACAGTCCATTGGCATGCGGAAGCCCTGAAAAAAACAAACAAGGCATGTCATCTTGAATTGTCTTTGCAGTTACCACCAAAAAAAAAACGACGGTTCTGGGTAGAGGAGTCCAGTAGTTCATGTCACATCAAAATTCTATGTCCTGTATATCACCAACACTTCAGCTGTAGTACTATAAATTTACAAAATAGTCTTTAAGATCCGGCAGCCACCGAGACCGCTGCGGACGACCCTCTTGCCGCCGAGTAGAGGTGTCTGGACTCTGGGTCTCTGGGGACTCCGGTCCGGGGGTAGGCACGCTGTGTGATGACACTTCCACAGGTAACAGGACTGGCAGTGTCAAAGGAGGTGCTGGACGTTGAACCTTCAGTCGCCGTGTCACTGTAGCTGGATGACCAGCTGCCATCCGCTGATGTCCCAGGGGACAGCTTCTGCTCGGGTGCCAGAGCACACCTGCTCGAGCACAGGTTCCTCTATCTCAGGAGGACCCTTAGGGAAGGGACCACCAGCTGCAGGAGGAACCTCAAGGAGAGGAACTGAGGCCATAGGCTGCACGCTGACCCTCGGGATCCGGATGCGTGGTGTCCGGGCTGGCAGGACCATAAACAGATGGCTCCGGAACAGAGCCGGCGGGACTGCAGGTGGGGCAGCATCTGCAGTGGAAGGAGGGGGCACCAGGGGATCCTCCCGGAACCGGGATGCTCTGGTGAATGATGGTTGAAGTGTTGTGTGGGTTAACTTTGAGGCATGCCGGGTGGATCCGTCGTCCAGTCGGTACGTGGCTGGACCCAACGTCCCTCTATACTGAAAGGTAGCGAGATCTCCTCCTCCTCGCCATCTTTTTTATCGTGCCCTCCGTCCGCCTTTTTTTTTTTTTGTCCAAAATTGTACTGCGCTTAGCCGCGCTAGGCACTGGCCTCTGCTGTCATGTGCGGAGAAAAAAACTAACGTGCAAGCAAGTATAAAGGTTTCTTGATTTGCAAATTATATGCGCGTTCAAGCTACGCCATACTGTAGTGTATTTTAAGTGTTGTTTAGAACATATCAGCAGACGGGGACGCGTTGAAGTTATGCACGCACTATGTGGGCCGGAGGTGCTGCCAAATGCCATTGCGTTTGTCCCGATTCTTTGGTAACACAATCATCGATAATACTCCTATCTTCTGAAGACAAAATATTTTTATTTTGGTCATGACTTTGTTAGGCCGCAATGTTCCCAACGATGAAATAATTTAATCTTTGGCGTGTGTCCATCAACGCTTCTCTTGATTGTTTTTTTTTTCTTTGCTCGGGCCTTGCTGACTGAGGACAGACCTAATTTTATGTATCCCCAAAATAAGAAAATGTTCACTGGTGTGAAAACTAGCGCAGTACTACCGTATTTACACGATTGTAGGTCGACTCGATTGTAAGTCGACCCCCTCACATCGCACATAAACAAAAAAAAATATTTTTTTTTATATGCGCATTTTATTGCAAACACGTGTGAACGGCAAATTATCTGTTTCGAAAGCCGTGCCTCCAACACGCAATCGATGCCTTCTGGCGTGCTTTGGCTGCGCATGCACGTGCGAGGTGCGTAGGAACTAGGAAGTTCACGCTGGAGGCGGGACAACTGAAGCTGCTCACTGTCGTTCTCACTCCATCTGCGACTAGACTACGACTCGTCCGCACAGGTGATGTCAGTCCCGTCGTCATCACTACTGTACTCCGCGACAAACTTTTCTTGGCAATGCAGCGGAAAGTACAGGCCTGCGTCCCCTCTCCAATTTTGAGTTTGCGCGGGCTCTCCTCCTCTCCCCGGAAATGGGGAGAGAAGGAGAGCCTGCGTACACTCAAAATGGGAGAGACAACGCGGGCCTGTACCTTCCACTGCATTGCCAAGAAAAGTTGTCGCGGAGTATAGTGATGGGACGAATCTTTATCTGAAGCGAAATTCGGAGCCGAATCTGAAGATTCGGAAAGAATCAGAAAAGTAGCCGAATCTCGAGCGATTCGGAAAAGTTCGGAAAGATTCGGAGCGTTGTCATGGCTGCCAAATCACGTTGATGTGTTTTTCAACTTTTCGTGATATTAAATTCACCAAATTCTATAAAGTGCACAAAACAATATTGTAATATAATATCACAGTAATAAATAGAATGTTCCGCTTTGTTTATATTATTTCGGATGTTTATCGAGAACGGTAGCCAGACATCGCAGAAAAGTTGGTTTCGGTTCCGGATTACGACCCAAATAGGCATGCTTGGTGCACGTGGAAATACAAGCGCATGTTTTCATCGCCGCAAGAGATTGATGCCGTACGTGCTGTTCGGTACAGACACATTTCGTGCCCATATATATATTTACTGTCATAGTAGCACACACCACACAAGTGATTTGATTTGATTATCTCCAACGATTTGATTTGATTATCTCCGAGTGTCCACTGAGGTATTGCTATCGGAACACGGGAAACAATCTGAAACTCCTGGTGAATGATATCCGGTTTAGTTAGTGTTTGTTTCTGAACAACGAAGTTGCGTTGGACACCCCCGTGTTTTGTTACATTTTCATGAAATAAAGTTCACGTATACAAAACTTGCTGCCAAGGACAAAGAAACAACAGTGCAACGGTTTTTTTTTTTTTTTTTTACAGGTGTTATTATGCGGTCGAAGTTGTGACGAGCAACATTCATCTCGCTCTCGCATCTTACGGGTACGGGCATACGCAGCTCTAGAGAAGGAGACGAATCATTTCCTTGCCTGGATATATATTTATTGTGCGTTGCGCCACATTACGTGTAATACACAGCGTTTCGCTACATTTTACCGATCACCGCGAAACCGCAAAGCAAGACCGTGCATTGGTTAGGCCTACGTCAACCACACCGATCAGCTCAGCTGGACCTAAGCACGTGCCAGGGTTTAGAACGACAGTGCAGTACATACCATATGTTGAAATAAACAAGACGTAATTTGGTTATATGCAGTAACAGTACCTAAGAAAAGCACAACTGACCGCATTCGCGAGGTTTACGACAAGGTTCACGCTGCCGCCTGCAACCAGCGACGAATCTCCGAATCTGCCGAATATTCGTCGCGGGAAGTTCGGAAATTTCCGAATCTGTCTGTGACAAGTAGGTAGCGCCCCCCTCCGGTTCGCCCGTCTGTGGCCGCCAGGCTCGGCGGGCAACATAGGTCACCGCGCCCAATGAACGCCGTTGAGCGTACGCCGCTCCGGTCAGTCATCGTCCACCCTCACAACCAGGCTGCGTGTCGTCTCTTCTCGGCGGGTGCTTCGGGCCCCTTCGTCCACGTTCTAGAAGGATCGTGACACTGTCCGAATCCAAACCTCTGGTGATTCGTCCCATCACTAATCACTACTACGTTCTCGAAGCACGTCGTCGGCGTCGTCCAATGAAATCTCGCACTTCGCAAGTGACAGGATCAACCGCATCTTCCGCGCTTGCTCAGCGATCGCGTCGGACGTCACGGGTAGGGACCGATTGTGCGCGTTTGCGGCGTACGTTGCAAGCCTGACTTCCAACTCCAGAAGGCATCCCCACCTATCCAGAATGTGGCCTGCGGAAGCTTCTTCATTTGCCGTCACACTTTAAGATTCCACGCCACCGCAGACTCCACTGGAGCATCACCCACTCCGACAGGTCGAGCTTGCGTCCAACAGCGCAGTTGTTGGTTGCTTCCGAGGGAAGAATGGCCATAAACGAGCACCGAAAACCTAAACTGCCCAGATCATGCGTTTCAATACAAATGAACATAGCGCACCAGCATGATCTCGTACTCGATCAAACGATGTGCGACCGTGAATTGTGCGAAAAACTGCGAAGCCACGGCGCTGCGGGACGAGCCGTGAGGCTGTTCCAGCTACCTCCGGAGTGGCTCTTACGAGAAATGCCGTCACCCCCCGGGAGTCGGGCGCTCCGTGCTCTGTTCACCGCATTCGGATTAATTTGCGAATCGCTACCAATAATACTCGTTTGTGCAAATAAAAAATATTTAATTTGTAAAATGAGCGCACAAAACATTGTAATGCTAGGGGTACAGCCGGCTGAACTCGAAACAAGCCGAGGTGTCCATGATATCGCGATTGTTTCGTTTTTGCCGGCAATGGAATGCTTTGGTTCGATTTTAAGTTGACCCCCCCACTTAAGATTTTCAAAAATTGAAAAAAGGGTCGGCCTACATTCGTGTAAATACGGTAACCTCATACAATGCGAGTGATCACCAACCATACTCGCGTCATTTCCAGTGGTATACACAAATATCTGCATCAGGATTTTCTTTCGGTTTTATTACATGGACATTACTAGATAGGTATCCCTGCAAGGTAGCTCGAAAATCCTGTAATTATTTTGGCATTTCCCTGCTGTTATTTTAAATAAAATAATGTAGCAGCCATGATGAAACACTGTTTGGAAGAAACATTCTAAAAGCCCTCACTGAATCTAGTTTCAATTAATAGGCCACTCTAACAAGCGAGTGCAAACTAGCCAGAATTCATTTGCAGAAACAATTTGCTCAGTGGAAAATCAATGAGGAATCTATATGAATTCCAACGTAGAAAGAAAACTTGCCAAGAGTTTCAAGGCAAGAGTGCTCTATGAAATTAAAGTTTATCGGTTTCAAATGAAGCGAGGGGAGACATAAAGACAAGAAAACAATTTTTCTTTTTCTTTCAAGAGGTGGTGAGAAAGATAATTTCCAATGAAGAGCTAGTGCAATACACAGATATACAATAATACCATAAAATACCGAGGAAGCGCCCATACCCATACAAGCGCCTACTATTAACATTGGGAGTGTCTACATCCACGTGCGGGGATGTAGCCACGTCGGGAGGAGATAAGGCTCCATCCACGCAATACGTCACTTCCGGCGCACTTTGATCAACTTCCGGTCTAGCCTCCCATTGTTTTTCCATCTGTGCGGCGGCCATTGCACCTTGCGTTCCTGCCGTACGCGGACTACTGTCTACTGTGCCATGCCTGGTCTTTCGCAAGCGGGTTTGACTTTCTCTGAAGCGTTTTTTTTTTCCTGTTTTTCTTGGACAAGGAGTTTGGTTGTTTGAGTGTTAGCACGGTCGCGCTTCTGATCTGCCTCAAGTTTGGTTGCCGGGGATTCGACGGTGAAATACTTGTCCTAGTATTTTCCATCGAATAACCAGGTGGCTATCGAAGTGCGGGTGTTTAGTGGCATTAGGATCGAGGCTTTGTTTTCCAAGGTGTCTGATGCCCTGCTCGATTTTGGCACAAACAACACCAGCGTTTGTGCCAGCGCGTACGTTGACAAGTATCGTCGACTGGCCGCTCAGATCTTGGAACGCAATCGACGATGCAGATCACCTTTTCTTCTGTCCTTCCGAGGCGGGAGAACAGGTTCTCTTCGATGGAGTGTCAGGGTAGTCAGAGTGCCGAGATCCAGGCGTTGAATGATCAGCACAGAGACGTAAACTGGCTCCTGCAGAAGTTCTGCCGCAAGAAGGGCTTCGTGTTCATCGGTGATCTCGTGGACGAGTGGCATCTGTGCATCGGCTACTGTTTTATTTGTCATGGAATAAACTGTTTCTGGAATCTTTTACCCAGTTTTCTCGATTGAATGCTCTCGGTATGTTTGTTATAATTTGGGACTAATGCATGCTTTCCCTTTTCTCATAATCTTTGTGTGATTGCGAGCGTGCACGCAGGTCAAGAACGTAAGGAG